TCACCAAATCAGTTCCTTGCATAACTCTCTAATTTCTCATGGTAATAATATCATTTTCTGAACCATCTAGGCTCATAATGTCTGACTCATCTCTCTTTGTTTAATTCACTTTCCTTTTCCCCAGACTCAAGCCAAGGTGAAGGAATGGAGCAGGGAGTGATGAGGGCCAGGGTGACCGACATCACTGAGAAATGTCCTCTTAGATAAAGGAAGATGACATGGGAGATGTACTGAGCAAAGGAGGGGGAAAGATTAGGATCGGAAGGACCCTCTGGGAGACAGTTGCAGACCTCAAGAAGTGAGCCCGGCCGGAGAGGTGGGGAGGGAAACAAAACCATGGTATCTGGGTGTTGCAAAACAGTCTAACTTCAAAAGCGTATCTGAAGCAGGGTAAGAATATACTTCTCTACGGATTGAACTCAAAATCAAATGAGGCAGGCTGTAAAGAAGAAAGGTTGGGAATACAAAGGAATAAAAACAGAAATGAACTATCAAGACCATCTGGGTCTTACCAGTTACATTATATATCTACAAATGACCTAACTGCAAATGTGATACCTTGAGATCTTCTTCAATAACAGTAAAGCAGCTTCCTGCACGGTGTTCTCGAAACACCAGAGGACAAACGAGACACCAGGAGAATCAGGGGTTGGTTGTGATAATGACTTATACAGAAGGGTCTTCTCCATTCCCCAGGAACAGGGCATGAAGGAGACCACAACAGACTTTCTGATGGAGGCGACTCTGGCAGTTTTCCTTGTTAAGTCTTCCCAATGTTAGCCTTAGAAGTCAGAGATGAACCCTGACACCTCTGGATAATCCATTCCAGAAGGACACTGACAAATCCCTGCTTCTGTCTGTCCCCTCCTGGGGTGATGCAATCCGTTACTGACCTGTAGGGGGCCTTGACTTTTACCTGGTCTTTCTTTTTTTCCCAGTTTTGGGGAGCTCTCCTGAAATTCTAGTATTCCAGAATTCAGTGAATGTGCACGGTTTAACTTTCTTTACTCTTGCAATTTTACAGACAAAGTCGTATCTCCAGACTGGGAGTATTAATACTTGCACTTGGTGTGCAGGTGGTGGCCCTCAGACCCTCCGAGCAGCAACACTCATCCTCTTAAAATGCTATTACGCATCTGATTGGCAGAACTTAAGGCAGCAATGCACCTGTGGAAATGCCATGCTTTTGTAGAAGAACAAGGCATCAGAATACTATAATCTGGACACAAGAATCTCCAAAGAGTAGGCCTCTACTGGCAGCTGTCTTGTCCTCCACTATCTTCCTCACCACCCAGAATATGCCTGGCACAGAGGAGCCCCTCTCCCATCACCCGTGAAATGAATGTCTCTTGATTTCGGCCATACAGTGATAAACATAAACACACACACACACACACACACACACACGTGTGTGTGTGTGTGTGTGTGTGATATAAAGAGAGCCTTTAACATAGAAACAACATAAAGAAAGTAGAAATCTCAACACTTCAGTATTTTTTCCTGTAGGTTGTGTTAGCTCAGGTGCTGTGGAAGAGCTTTTCTTCCGCACCCATTCCTGGACCTCATTCCTTTAGCTCTATGATAATCTGCCTCAAATCTAATAACTTAGCAACACTTCTTAACTGGGGCTACTGTGTGTGAGATCTTAGCCTTCCGATCTGTTCCTACCCCTGATACATTCTCCTCCCATCACTTTTCAGCATTTTGGTCGTGATCAGTTTCCCGTCTCATGCAAAGTTATCCTTCTGCCGCTCTGATCTCACCTCCTCCTCCCCCCACACCCACTTCCAACGACTCCTCCAAGTCCACACTGTACGGCTCGGTGTTTGAGACTCTGGGCTGTGGCCTATGAATCTCGCGGATTCTCAAAAAACCCCTCTGTTCTGGACCGACCTACCTCCTCAGTATGCCCCAAACACACCTTATCTCTTTCCCTTTGTGCCAGTTTCCCAAACCCTATACAACTTTCAGCCTCCAGCTTCCAGACGTCCAAAAGGGCAGCTTCAGGGAAACACAGTGACTCTAGCATTTGCCCCAGATGCTGGAGTGTACAGTTTTGTAAGAGGAGGTCCCCGGAAAGTACGCTAAAGTTACTGAGGTTCTCCAGGTTGAAAGTCATGAAAGAGAGGCACTCACAACTGGCCGGTGTTGCCTGACTTTGTCTTTTTGGCCCTGCCCCGTGCTCTCCGGCTCATAGACATTTTACCGGTATAGCCACAGTAATTAACTGATTTTTTCTACTGAACAAAGTTGCTTTAAAAAAATGTCTCACGAGCTAGAGTTACTGAGTTCCACCAACTGGTGTGAACAAACAATTCCGCACGTGGCCAGACCTGTCTGGTCGCACGTGCGCACGAGCGGGCTAGTGACGAGCCAGTCAGCCTCACACATTCACAGGAGCAGATTTTCACCTGCTCTTCTCGTGAAGCCACATGGCTTACATCTCATCCATCATGTGACACGAAACAACTTTTCTTTAATTTCATGAAAGAGAGGGAACGTCCAAGTCAGGGGGCCCTCCAACGATATTTCCTCCAGGTCCGTAAACACACACACACACCACACACACATACCCCACACGGAGTGACACTGTACAGCTGATGCAAATGGGGCTTGGTGACCATGGTGGGAGCCCTTTCTCAGGCAGTGGCCCTTCCTCCTGCTGGACTGTGCCCCAGGGAGAAGCCTCAGGCATGTAAAGGCTGCCCAAGCCAGATCCTCGGCAGCTTCAGAGCAAGCCTGGAGACCAGGACAGTGCCTGGTGAGTGGTGGCAGGCCGGGAGGAAGAAGTTACTGCAGTGTCCCTTGTCACACCCCCTAGAGGAGTACATGGACGTCAGGAAAGGAAAGGGGCATTTAACCCAGTGAGTCAGTTTGCACTTAAGGATGTTGAATGGGGGAAAAAGGGAGGAAAGAGAGGAACACGGGGAATAGGACTGTACTTACGGCTATACCAGAGGCCCTAGCTCTGGACCGGATGTATTTTAGGTCACAATAATACTCAATGTTCCTTTATACCAAATGACCTTACTTCTACATATGATATGTTTTATTATAAATATATAAATAAATGTAAATATAAAAATAAATAAAATACATATATAAAAATAAAGTTATATTTATTTTATTTTTATATGTATTTTATTATATATTATAATGTAAATTATAATATATATTTACATATATATTTTTATATATGTATATAAATGGGTTGGAAAGAGCTCTTTTAAGATTTTATTTATTTTTCAGAGAGAGAGAGAGAGAGCACAAGCAGGGGGAGCAGCAGCAGAGGGAGAAGCAGGCTTCCCGCTGAGCCAGGATCCTGATGCGGGACTCAATCCCAGGGCCCTGCGACCATGACCTGAGCCGAAGACAGCTGCTTAACCAACTGAGCCTACCAGGCATCCCTGGAAAGAGTTTTTTTAATCAGACAAGAATTTTAAAAGCTGCTGCATAAAAATGAAAAAGAATGAACACCCCAATGGGAGAACAGTTCAGAATCTGAGATATAATCTTGTCGTAGAATATTATGCAGTCACTAAAAAATGTAAAATGAATCTACAAGGGGTTCTTAGTGTGTATTGTTACATGAGAACACAGAAGTGCATAGAATATCCCATTTTTGAAAACCTATGATTGCACTAAAAGGTGCTGAGCACATCAGCGCAAACAATGTGGGCTAACTGGTTAGAACAGAAGAAATGAGGAAGGAAGAGAATAATGGAAAATAAGCAAAACAACTATTAAAAATAAGACGGTCCATAATAAAAATCAAGAATTATATAAAATTATGCATATGTTAGTATATATTTGCATGAAAATGCAATGGAAGAATGGTTATAAAAATGTTGGAGGTGTGCTATCTCAGGGTAAAAATATTTCAGTGGATTTTACATTCTTCCTTGTACTTTTTTGCATTTTAGTAAGTAAATATAATAATTATATAACCAAAATAACAATTTTCATTGAGGAACAATTTTGAGTAACTCACTACCACTGGCAGCATGAAAATGAGGTTTCTAAGTTTTCATAGACACAAGATGGCATATCCAGTAGAATTTTGAATCATTCACAACTAAAAGGGGTTTTCCCAATCTTTTTTTCAAAATGGAGACAGACCACAAAGCCCAAAATTAATGATCATCATAAAGACTTTAAGCATCTTTAAGGCAGGTCTTAAATCTAATTTTTAACACACTCTCCCAAAGGCTCCAAGCACTCTGAGTGCTCAATCAATCCTCATTAATTGACAAGCACATTTCAAATCTCATGAATTATTACATCAAAGATGATATTATCTGACATACAAATGCTATTAAAAAGTAAAATCTCATCTAAAAATGAATATGAGAGCTGAGGCAGCTCCAGTGAAAACAGTTTAACTATGAAATTTAATCTGCCACAAAAGAAGTAATAAAAGTAACACAGAACACATTTTGTTCATCTTGCCCCTGGTCATATTAAATGTATCTAGTTTTGCTACCTTCATTACTGTAGTCTCAGTCCTGAAGGTCATCTACACAGCCCCCAATGACCGTCCACTCAATATCATTAACTTCTACTTTTTATGGCAGATACAAGATTCATGACATTAGCTACCCATCCTCATGAACGATATCCAGTCTTTGAAACTCTAAAGATTAAAACTCTGCCTGTTAAAATTCTGATGATAGCATGAAATCTTTTTGCAGAGAGATGCTCTCCTTTTATTCTCCTAGGCCTGTTTCCCCTGCAGAGTAGCAGAAATGGATGTCGAAGCTGTGCAGAGAGATGCTTGGTGAACAGCCATGGAATAACCTTTCCAGGGGAAACACACATGGGGTGTGGGGGGGGCAGCGGCTGCTTCTCTTGATCCCTAATGCCAGGTACCCCCCACCTGGCTGTAGGTAACAGCCCACCTAGCCCACCTGTTCCCTGTTATAGCCACCTGGCAGATAACGGGTACGAGGGAACATGAAAACCCATTTTACACATACAACATTTTCAATTAAAATACTTACTTGGACTAGTAAGTGGCCTGAGTTAGGCAAGCAGGTGCCACATTTCTTGGTGTCGTCGTTTATCTGCTTGATCAAATTCATCAATATTTCCACAGCACCTTTGCTGATCATTTCATTGAGAAATCGTGGATTTCCAGAAATGAACTTGATAGCCCCCATACAGTATAGGAAAGCTTCCATGTTCGTCTGTAGCTCCTCACTTCTCAGGACCTCCAATAATGATTCTGCCAAAAAGATGAATTATTACAAATGTGTAACAACTGGAGAGAGATTATTTTAAAGCACTTGTGTTTGACCGTCAAACAGAATTTGTAAAATGTTGGTCAATATTACATTCAAATGCTTGTTAAGTGTTATTCTTGTGGGATGAAGAGGTAAGCTTATCTGCAGCAGAGACAAATCTCTGTAATCATAATGACAGCAAAAGGATAGGAATATTAATATATAAATAAGAACACGTTCTGTTAATCAAAATGCCATTTCTTGCCTCTTACTAATATTTACCAACCTTTATTTTTAGTTACAAAAAAGTTATTATAGAATAATTGATAGTTGAGACAATTTAGGAGTGAAATTTCTTTTTTTTTCCTTTTTTTTTTTTTAAAGATTTTATTTATTTATTTGAGAGAGGGAGCAAGCAAGAGCAAGAACGAGCAGGGTGAAAGGCAGTGGGAGAAGCAATTTCCCTGCTGAGCAGGAAGCCCAACATGGGACTTGATCCCGGGACCCTGGGATCATGACCTGAGCCAAAGGCAGACGCTTAACCGACTGAGCCACCCGGGTGCCCAAGAGTTAAATTCCAACAAACTTTTGAGGACATACTGGTTGCCGTATGAATGGGAAATTAATCAAGACAGGGTCTTTTAAGAAATCTCAATCACCACAGAAAGGGATACTTCGAAGATAACATCCACCTGGTTCCGGAGACAACTTAAGAACATCCATCCAAATAGCTACAATTACTAGATTTTTTTTTAAATTTTATTTATTTATTTGACAGACAGAAGTCACAAGTAGGCAGAGAGGCAGGCACAGAGAGAGGAGAGGCAGGCTCCCTGGCGAGCAGAGAGCCGGATGCGGGACTCAATCCCAGGACCCTGGGATCATGACCTGAGCTGAAGGCAGAGGCTTTAACCCACTGAGCCACCCAGGCGCCCCTACAATTACTAGATTTTAGGAGGAACCCAGGCAATTCTGATAAGGTTAATCATGTCTCTTTTCCATTTAATTTTATTAATGTCAGTGTGATCATTTGTCAGAATCTTTCTTTGTCCCTGTCTGCTGGGGTGAAAAAAAAAGATCATTCATCCTAGCTCACAAAAAAAAAAAAAAAAAGAACTTAGGGCATTTTCCTTGTTGCTGCCTTGCCTTAAATCAGCAATGCAAATTCATAAAAGATTTCTATTGAGGTAACTATTTAAGCATCTTAATTATTTAAGGGTGTACCAAGACTTAAACAGTATTAGTTAGGAAGGCAGCATGTAATCAAATTTCTCTATATATCTGAAATACATTTGAGACACTCTGATGTCAAACGTCTACAACAGCCATCTTCCAGTTTGTCTTCCAGTTTGTATTCCAAGTTTGAGTCATTCCTACGCCATCAAAAGCCCCCAAATTTCAATTATGTCAAATACCATTATATGTATTTTGTTTGATAATCGATCTGAGACCAGGAAATGGATTTTTAAGTAGGGAACACTTGCTAAAGTCACATAATGTTACTACAGGCATTTAAAACAAACAGCCAGGGGCGCCTGGGTGGCTCAGTGGATTAAAGCCTCTTCCTTCAGCTCAGGTCATGATCCCAGGGTCCTGGGATCAAGTCCCGAATCCGGCTCTCTGCTCAGTCCTGGGATCAAGTCCCGAATCCGGCTCTCTGCTCAGCAGGGAGCCTGCTTCCCCTCCCCCCTGCCTGCTTCTCTGCCTACTTGTGATCTCTGTCAAATCAATAAATAAAATCTTTTAAAAAAAATAAAAGATAAAAAAGTAAAACAAACAGCCAACAATCCTTCTTGGCTCCAAAGAAACACATTGAACAGAATGTGGAAAACACAGAGAAGGACAGAGCAAAACTAGGCATCACATAACTTCTGAATATTAGGAGAAAATTAAATATTCTAGCCACCATTAATGACAAGTTCACTCCCAAAACTTCTCACTCATACTCAAGGGCCACATGCGCTGAATGATACTCACCTAGAATATTGTCATTCTCAATCAGAAAGTCATTCTTCTCACTCCTGCTAATTTTAAATATAAGTTTGCAGACATTAAGAAGATTCTTTCTACTCACTTTAAGCTGCAGAGAAAGAAAACACGTTTTTATTGCAGAGGGAAATAAAGATGTGCCATCATTTTTTATCACAAATACCTATTTTAAAAGTGCTCCAGGGTATTTTTTAAAACATAAAGAAGGGGCGCCTGGGTGGCTCAGTGGGTTAAAGCCTCTGCCTTCGGCTCGGGTCATGATCCCGGGGTCTTGGGAATTGGGCTCTCTGCTCGGCGGGGAGCCTGCTTCCTCCTCTCTCTCTGCCTGCCTCTCTGCCTACTTGTGATCTCTGTCTGTCAAATAAATAAATAAAATCTTAAAAAAAAAAAAACCATAAAGAACAAATCTAAGGTTAGGCTGAGCATTTGCCATCTATAGTATTTCATTAAATCATGGTAAATACAGTATAAATGATCTTTGGGGTATGCACACTTCACTGATAAGCATTTATTTCTTACTTCATAAGGTCTTATCCTTATACATGAGGTTATTAGTTAGTTTCTAAAGAGTATATGAGGATAAAAGGGGGGAGGATGTTGACAAGTTTAATTAAGCAGTGTAATTGCTCTAACACACAAGAGTAAAGGAAGACAGATACCAAAATTTTAGATTTAGTAGATTTAGGTAGATTAGATTTAGTAGGGCTGAAGGAAAGAAAGAAAAGGGGGAAGGTATGATTCTCTTTATTATTTGTATAAAAAGAACCCCAAAAAGTAATTTTTTATTAGATAATACATATATATTTATTTTTCAGACTATATCTGGAATGCTTTGAGATAATGGCAAATAGTGTTCAAAATTTAAAATTACCTTCTAAATCAGACAAAAATAGTCAAGTACATTAAACACAGGGACAATACGGAAGCATACTTTAAAAAAAAGACACTGTAGAGGGGGACTAACTACATCAAAGAGTCTCAATTCGCTGTATTATTTATCTAAAGTAGTAAAAATTAAAAATTAAAAATATCCTCAGTGTTCATTATTAGGGAATAATTTAATAAATTGTGGAACACTACTATTTGTATCAAGCAGTCCCAGAAAGTGTAACTATGAATACCATGTTTTAAAAAAAGACATTTATAACTCATTGTAAGATGGAAATATTATATGCCCTCATTGCAAGAATGTAAAATATGTTTATAGGAATGAGGTCATCCGAACAAATAAGTATATCTTATGGGTCATTATTTTATCATTAAAAAGCATCTTCAAAATTACCTTCAATATTATTTATTAATGACTTTCCAGTTAGTTTTTTTTTAAAAAAAAGAGTGGAATTTGTTCTTAAAGATTCATTGTGGGGGCGTCCCAGGGAGCTCAGTTTGTTAAGGCCTCTGCCTTTGGCTCAGGTCATGATCCCAGGGTCCTGGGATCGAGCCCCGAGTCGGGCTCTCTGCTCAGCAGGGAGCCTGCTTCCTCCTCTCTCTCTGCCTGCCTCTCTGCCTACTTGTGATGTTTGTCTGTCTAATAAATAAATAAAATCTTTAAAAAAAAAAAGATTCATTGTGCGTTTGATCCACAAATATTACCGCACTCCTGCTGTGGACCAGGCACAGGGCTGTTCGCCGTAGATATGAGGATGAGCGCCGTCAGCCTGGTGCCAAGGGGGCAGAGGGAGGGAAGCTTTACCCACACAGTAGTGTTCATCTGCCTCCCTGTTTTGGGCCCTGGACAGGTTATCTCAGAGCAACCTTGCAAACTAGGAGTTCTTTCCGTTTTGCACCTGGGGAGTCTCTCTTAGTATTAGAAATGCAGACTCTCGGGCCCAGATAGCTCTGCTGGATCAGAGTCTGCATTTTAGCAAACTCCCTGGAGATCAGGGCTTGTGCAAGTCTGGGACTCTCTGTTGGGGAAGCATCGGAAACTGTTACATGTAGCAGGATGGCCACTCCTTCTGTTCTCAGGAGGGAAAAGGAAATGGGAATTAGGAAAAAAAAATGGAATGCTTAAGGGTTTCAAAAAATTATTTAAAAACCCAAAGATGGGGCACCTGGGTGGCTCATTCCTTAAGCGTCTGCCTTCAGCTCAGGTCATGATTCCAGAGTCCTGGGATTGAGCTCTGCAGAGCATCGTTTCCCTGCACAGTGGGGAGTCTCCTTCTCCCTCTCCCACTCCCCCTGCTTCTCCCTCTCTCGCTGTGTCTCTCTCTGTCAAATAAATAAAATCTTAAAAATAAAATAAAATAAAAACCCAGAAGATGAGCCGACTAAAGAGAGTGGAAATAAATTCCATATCAATGGAAATAGATGTTGTTCTTAATACTTGAGAATATATTTAATCAGTTAACCATCTTCTGCTATACTGTGAGCCAGTGTGTGTGTGTGTGTGTGTGTGTGTGTGTGTGTCTGTGAAATGTAGCACGTGTTCTGTGCTTAATAAAACGTGTTGAAGAAATGAATGACGACAACTAACCTCAACCTCCACCCAAGTCTTCTATTTTTAGTAAAAAGTGACAAAGGGAAAATGACAACAACTCACGTCCGGGTTTTCATTAAAGATCAAACAAACAACCCGACGATTTCCAAGCCTGCTATAAGGTCAGTTTACATCCAAAGCACATTCCTACACCTTCTCTTTTGGTAACTATAAAATTATGACTCTGAGACATGAAAATATAATAAGATATTAAGTCACATGCAAGGAACATGGACAACCTTACATAGAAGAGCCCTTCCTCGCACCCACACCATTCCCTGCCCTGTGCTTCACGTTCTGCTCTTAGCAACGTGCTGGCCCCAGCTCGCCACCCCCCATCCCTCCCCACCCCACCCCTACCCCCGCCATTTCTCTGCATTTTCACAGCCTCTCCTGCTACATACAGCATCAGGAGGGAAGACAGGGAATTTTATTCACTTGTATTCCCAGCATCAAGAGTCCCTGGCACAGAGAATGTTCTTGTACTGGGGTAGTTTACTTCTTACATTAAAAATAGCAGTCTTTTCTATTCCAAGAAAATTTGGAAAATTAAAGAGAAGTTTAAGAACACTTACACTACTACTACTATATATAATCACTCTTGACAGACTGGTGGGGTTTCTTTTCTGTTTTCTTTTTACCCCCTACCTAGAGTACTAGATTTTTTCCCCCTCCTGAATATATAGTTGCATTCATTGCATATATGTTTGTACTTAAAAAATTATTAATACAGACTGATACATTTTTGTAAGATCCTTCGACACAAAGTTTAAAATTATATGGCTGTCTGGCAAAACCTCCACCTAACTTAACCAAAAAAATGCAAGAAAGCTGAAGAACTGATATTATACTCCCTGAATGTTTTTAACTATAAAAATTTTTTTTAAAAATTTAATCTATTTATTTGACAGAGACAGAGAGAGAGAGAGAGAGAGCACAAGCAGGGGGAGCTACAGAGGGAGAGGGAGAAGCAGACTCCCCGCTGAGCAGAGAGCCCGATGTGAGGCTCGATCCCAGGATTCCAGGATGGTTACCTGACCTGAAGGTCAACTGACTGGGCCACCCAAGTGCCCCTAACTATAAATAATTTTAAATGTCTGAACTTTAATACTAAACTGGTAGTATTGGCAGAAACTAGAGAAGATATTAAAAACATCTTAGTTCCATATATATTTTTTGTTAGTTAGCTTTTCTTTTTTTTTTTAACTTTTTATGATATGGTCTTTCTAAAACTTACATAGAATTCCATCACCAAGGCCTATGCAAAACAATGTCTTGTTTGGAACATTAAGGGGAGATTCAGGTAGCAGGTGGGAAGTTGGGCTGGACGGCCTTGAAGATCCTTCCTAACCTGATTCTGTAGCTAATCAGAAGGGACAGCCTGCCCATGTCTGCACTCTGGAGTGTAGCCCGCTCAGAATCGCCCCTGATTCTGCAAGGCAGTCAACGCCACACAGAGAGCTTTATCTAATCAAACTGAGTTCAGGATGGGATCACTGCCTGGGAGATCACCTAGCCTTTTACCCTAAAATAGTTAAATCGTATCATATATCTAATTAATTTATCACATATCTAATTAACCTTTAATAGCCAAAATTATATTTTCTCCGGAAAGCATTGATGAATTCATGACATTTTCCTTCTCTGTCTCATTTATCTACTTTTTGGCTTGGTAGGGAGCAAAATGTCTGGGATCCAGATGAAAAACCAAAAACAATGGATTGCTCAACAGCTAACAGCTTCGGTCTCTCCAGCGCAGCTATGCTGGTAGAAACTTCCAGCCTCTCACAGGGGCTCTCCTGGGCCTAGGGGGCACCCCAAATCCAGGGCCAGAGAGGAAATGGGGCAAGCACGCTGATACCTTTTCACCTTTACCCGGCACCTTTTTTATTCTTTTTCAAGTTTTATTTAAATTCCAGTTAGTTAACGTAAGTCTACCTACAGCTTTTAACTTCAATGATCTCTGTGGCTTCTGCTCTTTTTTGTTTCATTAAAGCTGACCGATCAGTTACCCCCAGTGAGGGGATCAAAATACATCTCAAATCACCATTTCAAAGAAGTATTGCTTTCTGAGTCATATATCATATCACAGTGTTTTAGAAGAGGGTGAATAGTTTGTGATGACAGCTAAGTAAAGGTGTAGCTTCTCCCCCAAAATTACATGGAGTATGTAGTCAGGATATTTTGCTTTCATGAAAGACATCAAAATAAGGAACGCTGGGCATTCTTACTGAGCTCTTAGTAAGTATGCCAACACTTACCTTCCCTGTGTACTTTCAGATTTTAAATTATATGAATTATGGGTGTTAACAAAATAGCTTTTACTTTTATGAAACCAGGTAAACAAAGCTTCATTCATTTGTTTTAGCGGCTCTTTTAGAAGGTTCTCTAATAACTCTGTCTTATCTTTTGTTTCCAACCGCTTATGGCTGTGACAACAAAGTGTTCCCCTCAAACAATGGTATCATTTTGTCCGAGACAGAGCTTATCCAGACTTTTATTTGGTGTCTGGCTTTTTCTTCTAACACGTCCCGGGAGCCTTCTGTTCCCGCCTTCCCATGACCACAAGCAGCTGCTTCTCTGTTTCACACTGGTTCATAAGGCACCTGGCCAGTGTGCCCACAGCCCAGGGTATCCTCGGTTATTTATTAAATCATGGAGCAGAATCAAGGACCCGGCAGAAACCGTAGGGCAGAAACCACAAGCTCGGGTTCCCTGATACCGATCTCCAGTCAAGTTACTTGAGAAACTGTTTTGAATGTGTTTGCCTATTGTCACCTTTTTTTTTTTTTAAACTACCCACAGTCCAAATATGAGAGCTTATTTGAACATTTTCCACGACCTCAGCCTCAGACAGCGTTCCTAGTCAAATTCGGAGATGGCAATTTATTACCCTGATTTTTTTTTTCAAGATTCTAAAGGAACACACTGCATTTCTGATCTCTGTAAGACTTACAAATAAAGCATTAGATAGAACTTTTATGTGCTACAGTCTACTAGACCAGAGGAAAGAAAGACTTACTGCTAGAATAATTTTTGCAAGTTTAAGGCTGAGCAAGTCTGAACCAATATCAACTAGTTTATACAGGGTCTTCAGGAGAACACTTCTTCTCTTAAATTTATTTCCAAGCATGTTTCCTTCCTCTAAAGCGTGATGAAGTTGTGTGCAAGCAGCACAAATCGTTTCAATGTTTTCTTCTGTCAGAGCAAAGAGAGTAAAGCGGCACTTACTAATTAAGGTCAAGTCTTCAAGTGTGTCAAACACAGTGTAAGTAAAACCCCCTAATTCTTTCCCTAAACATCTTCAAATTCCTGAACTATGTTTTTTCCCTTCTCTTGCAGTTTCCATCTACCTGTTTTTTATTTCATCTACCTCCTACATGTTGATTTATTTACTCATCAGTCAGCTTATCTAGACACACAGTCTTTCAAAGAGTGTATTAAAGAATAGAACCGTACCGATCCCAGGTGGCCTGCTTTACTCCCCAAACACCCACTACCTCATGGTGCTCCCTTCAGTCTCTGGGGAAGCACCACAGTGTCTCCACTCCAGCCCTCTGGGGCGTAGTTCCACCGGCCCAGAATGTTCTCCTCTCCTTCATTCCTACTGATTTGGGTCCATGAAGGCTTTGTTTACATTCTGGCTCCTCCAGAAAAGATGTACCATTCCACATTCCAAGAACATTACTTTGTATTGTGTTATTCCTTACATATCTATGGATGCCGAGTTCCATGTCCTGTGCCCTTGCCCAGATGTCATGCTAAGTGAGGAGGAATCATGTCTTTGTATCTTTGTATCACCAGAACATGGTTCAATGAGAATACTGTACTGACAACCTATAACATAGTTTAATAAATACTTGTTTTCTAATGTATCTGGTGACAAAAACAATGATCCATATTTTTCTGTGAGAACAATGCTCATTATCTGGGAAAAGAGGGCTCCAAGGGAACAGAAATCTCACCAGTGTCACCTCAGCCACTATTACTTGCAGGTGGTTTTTACAAGAGAGGAGGATAAGAAGACTGTAGTTGGGAAATGGGAGAACCCTAGAACATTTTATTTTATGGTGAGAATTCTGAGGACAGCCGTCTTTGAACGTGGTATCCATCCCAGTAGGCATATGAAGAAGAAAACAAGCACACAAAGCGGAACCTGAGGGGAAATCTAAGAATCCAAGTCTGAGATATTCAGTTGAAAAATATTATCTGATAGATCCCATCACAAAACTTAAAATTAGGAAACCAATCTTAAATAAATACCATAATGTGCTCTTAAAAGCCCACATAGAGGAAGTGTGCGCCTGAAGAAGGAAATGACTCAGGCCATTTTTAGCTCTTTTCAACAATAACATCTAAGAAAAAATGTTAAACCTCAATAGCTTGGTAACCTTCAATGGCTTTCGGTTATGCACTTAAATAAATGAATTTTTGGGAAATGACTTAGACTCACTTTAAATAAAAGGAAAAACCTGAGCTCTATTGTAAGAACACTTTTGTTTTGTTGTTTTATTCTTCTGTTCCTGGCAGTTTCTTCACAAACCCCAAGTTCAGGCCGTGGGCCACTCTCTGGCCATGGGGAGATCTCAAGGCATTTTTCTAACACTTCCCTCTGCAAACTCTTCAGCCTGGTGGGTTCAATGAGGAGTAGCTGCCTTAGTTTAAAAGAAACTAAAAAAGGAAGTTTCATGGGTCAGATTTTAAACTCTTGATCAAATTAACTCTTTATGCCAGTCAGCTTGTTGTAAAGGCTATAGCGCCTTGAAAGACAACTTGAACTTAAGAACTTTCAAGATTCTCAGGGGGCTAAAGCTAGTGGGTAAAAGTTGGAGAAGTCATAGAAAGCAATGTAGCCTCAAAGTCGTGGCTCCCCATAAGATACTTATTAATTACAAAGAGGAAAATAGTAACTTTAGAGTGGAAAAACCTGGACACCACCTTCCCCAAGTGATCAAAATTCACACCCCCAGTAAGAGACCAGAAGAGCATCATGAGCCTACTGCTAGGACGCACTGAGAAGGACACAGCACCACGCCTGCGGTGTACCCGCCCCAAATGCCTCATCCCAGTCTAAGTGTGAGAAAACACCAGGCCAAACTCCTTTGTGGGGGCAGTCTATAAAAGAACTGGCCTGTATTCCTCAACTGTGTCAAGATCATGAAAAGAGGACAAATAATTTGAACTTGTGATCCAGGATTTTCTTTTTCTATAAAAGGAATTATTAGGATAACTGGCAAAACTCAATAAGGTTTGTGTAGTATGGTATGGTAGTATCCAGATATGTGACAGAATGTCCTTGCATCTTGAAATGTATGTTAAGAGTACTAGGAATATGGGACATCACTTGGCAATTTGTTCTTAAATGGTTCAAAAGAGGAAAAAAAACGTTTATATATGGGGTGTGTGTGTGTGTGTGTGTGTGTGTGTGTGTGTTGGGGACTACAGAGAAAATGAGAGCAAGAGGAAGAGAGAGAGGGAATAATGAAACAAACGTGGTAAAAGATTAATATTTGGAGAATCTGAGGGAAGGGCATACAGGGTTTCTTTGTACTACCCTTGACACTTTCCTCTAAGTCTGAAATTATGTCAAAATAAAAAGGAAAACAAGAAAGAAAGACCCTCAAAAGCTCAAGTAAACCCAGTCCTGCCACCATTCACTGTTCTTAAGTTGATGGGAGAGATGCCATACTTCAGGGCCCCCAATCCTCTGAGAAGGGAGATTAATCCACATTCCAGATCCCAAACTCCAGTTCCCTTTTCTCTGCTGGTGTCCTCAGAGCTCTCTTAAAGTCCTTCAGACTGAAGACTTCCTCTGGCCCAGGCCTTCATGTTGCAGGCCTTCCTCCACTAGCATATTCTCCTTTTGAACCTTTGTTCAGACTGTCTGCTCTCCTCACTAGTTTTTGCACATGTCTCCTAAAATAAAGGGCCCCAAGTGAAGCTAAGGGTGGAAATTAGGAACTCTAGAAGGAGAAAAGTTATCCACTGGGGTCTTGAGCTGTGGTAACCTTAGGAGAGTAGGACGCATGCATTTGGATCTAGAAAACCATGGGCACGCCGCCCAAGCATGCCAGTCCATGAGACTTAGTCAAAGTTTCAGGGGCCTGAAATCTGTTTTAATCTTTCACTTTCATATATTAACTGCCACCCCCAGATAGCTCAAACCAACATTTTCTTGGGCAGACAGAAGGTGATAGTTAATATGTATGTATTCCATGGGGAGTTTCAGAAGCAGGCTCTCCTCGTGAATTTAAAGTATAATTTTTACTCACTAAAAATTTGGTTTACCTGTATTTCTTATGTACATTAGTGGGTGAATATAGAGATAACTTCATTTGTTTCTGAACACGTTTGCAGAAATGGTAGTCAAAGTATACTAAAAATATCAGGGCAATGGGGAACATAGAAATAAGTACAGATATTCTCAATTTAAAACAAAAACTTTCTGTGTTACCCTTTTCTAATTGGTGCAAAATTGGTACGATCCTTGTATTCCAAAAGACTTCGTCTACTTCTATTTCTGTCTCCTTTTCTTGCACGTCAGCTTTTGAGGCTGCAAAAGAAGTCCAGATCAGGAGAAAGCAGTGAATAAGGAGGCACACCGGGAGTACCACCTCAAGTCTTTGTTATTCATCACCAAAATTAATCAGCTCTGGAATTAAATTATACCTTGCCCCCTAAGCCCAACTAATTCTAATTAGAACCACTGTCTTTTAATCAAATCACCCCACATCAAAATCAGGTAAGGTCATGTAAAGAAATCAGAACTTTAAACTCTCGTTAGGACACTACATGATGTCTTAAGCTTTGTAAGTGTTGGAATTTTTGTCATAAGGCAAATGATTGTTTTTGTTTTTTTAAGTAGGCTCTACGCCCAATGCGGGCCATGAACCCACGACCCCAAGATCAAGGTCTCATGCTCCACTGACTGAGCCAGCCAGGTGCCCCCATAAGGCAAAGAGTTGGAGTTATTTTTTATTTAAGCTTACTACTCGGTAACGTGGAATAAATAGAAAACTATAGATATGTAAAGAATAAGGATTCTGAAAACATTCAATGAAAACTTTTCTAAAAGGAAGGCCTGCAGAGAGGCTTTCTTTCCTATAGGAAATGAAACGGACACATGATTTCAAGGCCATTGTCGGCAGCGCCAAGTGAATTTGTGAATCTCAGTCCAAATCGCAGTGTCGGATTAGATGCCTTGGTTGCCCTGGGGTCTGGCTTCTTACCCTTTCTGAGCCTCATCAGTGAAACAGAGATGAAAATCTTTGCCTGTGGGGCTCTGAGAATTAAAAGACATGATATAGGTAAAGCTCAGTTCCCAGTGTCTGGCTTCTTGTAACACTCAATAAATGTGAATTTCATTTTCCTGATTAAAAAACAACAGGCCACCGCCATCTGACGTTCATCCGGCTGCACAATACCACTGAATCAATGAGATTAGCTGCTGCCCCGGAACGTCATAGGTCCTAGAAGAGGAATGGTTGCCACTGGCTGGGCGCCGTAAGAGGCCATGTGCTTCTACTTAACTTTTACAGCATAATGAGGAGGTCCTCAAATTGTCTCTATTTTCCAGATGAAGAAAGTGGGGTTCAGGGGCATTAAGCTACCTGCCCAAGGTCGTACAGAGCCATAGCCCTTGCTCTTGACCTCTATGCTATTCCACCCCACAGCAAAATCAGTAAATTGAGAGGTGACTTTGGAAAGCAGTGTGAATCGTATTAGAAACTGCAAATCATGATTACATTTCACACAGGAAATACCCCACTATCTAAAGCACAGACTGTGTAGCCAGAGAGTACCCCCTCCCCCCACCCCAGTGCGGACTCTCAAGAGAAATGCTAAAGACACATTCCTCAGTTTCCCTTCTCCCATCCGCTCCCTCCCTCCCTCCCCATAAGGCCCTCTCATGGCACCCAGTCTATACTGGTTCAAAGTCTGTACCTGCTCAGAGTGGACCTGGTACCAATCAATCAAATGCCCACCGTGGGTGCCTAGATCCCAAAATGTCCCCCAAAGAGTTAGAAATAATAGGGACAATCAGGGTTTCATAGAAAGAGGGGAAGAGAGTGAGAACAATGAAAAGGCATATGGCCTACATATTTTTAGGTTATTTTAACTCGGGGCGGGGGCCAGAGTGGAAACCAGCTGACTAGGAAGGCCCATTAAGAGTTCTAGAGTCCTGGGGCACCTGGATGGCTAAGTGGGTTGAGCCTCTGACTTTGGCTTGGGTCGTGATCTCAGGGTCCTGGGATCGAGTCCCGCATCGGGCTCTCTGCTTGGCGGGGAGCCTGCTTTCTCCTCTCTCTCTCTCTGCCTGCCTATCTACCTACTTGTGATCTCTCTCTGTCAAATAAATAAATAAAATCTTTAGAAAAAAAGAGTTCTAGAGTCCTAAGTTCTAAGGATCTAGAGTCACTGTGTGGGTTTGAATCCTAGCTCTGCTGGTTGACTGTGGGCAAGTTGCATCACTTTCCCTCTATAAAATGGGGTAACGATGGTCATCTATTAATTTCTTTTATGCGCTCCATATTTTCCAAAACCTCTCATTCATGTGTGCTACTCTTGAGAAGGAAAAAAAACATACAATACATATTAAACTTCCCAAGCATACAGTGATGATATCACCCAGGAGAAGCAGGAAAGCTATGCGATTTATCCATCCCCTCCAGTGCATGGGCCACCCTCTAACCCTCCACACTAGAAATACCCACTCCAGACCCAGGGGGCAGTGAGTCCAGGTTTGCCTTTTCTCAAACCTCCCTGGCACCAAAAGGGGTCCAGGCACACTAGGTGTGAGGAGCCCTTGAGCAGAAAAAGTAGACAGAGAGGGTATCGACAAAGCTGTAATTCAGTAGTATAGGTGTGCTGTCTGTAGTTTTAATAACAAAGTTTCCCATCATTTGTCTAACCTATAAGGAAGAACTCACGAAATGCATGGGTGCATTGTCTTTAGGACAACGTCAGTCCGTATCAGAACTGGTTCACAATCCCTTAGCCAAAGCCTTCGGACCAGATGTGGTTAGGGAATCCAAAAATTTTGGATTTTAATGAGGCAATAGGGTGCGCATGCTGTGTAACACACAGCACCCCAAGGAGGGTCTTCTGGGGCGGCACCCTGCGGCAGGGTATGTGCAAATTCACATGAACGAAACAAAGACGACTCTTGGCCTCCTATCAGCTGGGCTCGGGCATTGCCACTACATGAGTCTGAAAAACACTTCAGCTTTCCAAGGCTTCCCAAGCTTCAGTTTGGGGATTTCAGAACCGCAGATAATGGATGGGAGAACATCATCTCAATCTTTTGGGTCATTACTTTTATGAGTCTACCCTAACTTTGATAAATTATAGGTATGGACTCCAAAAGTAAACCTGAATATTCAAGCAACCCTAACCCATAGCTAGTCATAGTCCCAGGTACATGACCAAGTCCAGAACATGTGAATATAGTCAGCATATATCAAGGCAAGTGAAAAGCCAGAAGATAGTAAGTCAGATAAATAACTTAATCACTAAATATTTACAGCACACTTAAAATTTACTAGAAATACAGACTCCAAGTCCAATAAGTTCAAATCAGCATTTTTACCTTCTAAGCAGTATGCACTTTAATAGAACAGCTCTATGAGGAACAATGATTATCAATCTGTTTCTTAGGGCAAACAAAATCAATAATGCGCTCACCCCGGGAAAAGTGAAATTACAGGGGTGAGCCAGAAATCATAGAGCACTTATTTAACCTTGGCAAAGGAAAGGCCCTTACAGGCCCTTCTGAATGGTTCTAAGATTGTTCCTTCTCAGAGCAGAAGTCAGCCAGACACTGTGGCGTAAGGGTTCCCTTTCAACCCTCCCCCAAGAACTGCATGGCAAGTGGCTGTGTCCAGCCATGACCTTTCCATGTCTCCACCCACTCAGGTACCCCCTCCAATGCTGCTTTCTGCAGAAATCCCATTTTATATAACTAAACCACTCTCCACTCCAGCAACTGGATCATGGAATCCTGTGATCACTCCTGAAAATCTACAAAAACTAAATAAAGTTTGCCTCAGTCTTGGGCAACAACCTAATATTTTAGAAAGCACTTTCATCTAGGTTCACAGTTTGCTAAATATAAAAATTATGATTCAACAGGAAATTGGGTAAGTCAAGCAGAAATTTCAGCATGTTTTTGACGATTTTGCTGTCTCAGTGGTTATAGTTTTTAACCACAGCTTTGAGTTCTGGACACAAAAACTTGACACAATGTTTATTGGCTGATGTTTTTAGCAAGTGCATGTAAAATCCTTAGCAACAATGCTGATGCGGAAATCAGTCTAAGATTTTCCTGAGTGTTACAGAAACTCCTATTGGCCACAGAAGTCATTTTAGTGATAAGAAATTAGTTTTGAAAGTAATAAAACATTTTTTCAATCTGATTTTAGTCTGGTTTTATAGAATGTCATGTGTGTAAAAAAAAAAAAAGTGTGAAAAAGTAACAAACACCTGTGTGTCCACAAATAGTTTGGTCAAATACTAATGGTATTTTTATCCTCCCCTTTATTTCGAAAAAATAAACATTACAGATATAGTTGCCTCCCCCTATCCATTTCCCCTCCTCCCTCTCCCTCCAAGGATTACCACCATTCTAAATCAGGTGGTTATTTTTATCATGTTGGATTTTACATGTCACCACATATATCTGTATCCATAAACAACATATGTCACTGTTTTTGCAACTTAACATTTTCACGTAATATTGTTTGTACTCATTTCAGTCGATATTATAAGCGTGACTGCTATATTTTATTGCATGAATACACGTTGCCTCATTTCTAGCCTGTGATTAATATTGTTATATTTTTTTTTCTCAAACATATTAAAGACCCCCAAGGGCTGTCTTCACACAATTAATATAGCTTCACTTAAGTGAGCAGTGATTTTGAACTTCCAGTTAACTCAAGAATTACGTTAATGTCAACTTTTGCAACTTTCTGAATGCTTTTACAAAATAGTTTCTTTCACGCTCACTAAGACCATGATCTATAAATGTCTGAGGCCCCAAAGCTGGATAATGGTAAGAATTTTAAGACTGTTGTGAAAACAATAAAAATTTCTAAAAATAAATGTTGATGCGTGGCCAAGTTGGAAGAAGTGACTGGAGTTTTCAAACAGTGAGCCAACATGAGACATCTTGGGTGCAAATGTTTTTCTTACAAGTGGAGATGCTGAAGGTGAAGTTCTGGGGCCTCGCAGCGTATGTGCACCTCACCTGCTCTGGTTTCCAGTCGGCTCAGGTCTGAGCTGTTGAAACAAGATGAGGCTCTTGAACGCCTCTTCCCCTGGTCCCTAGGAGGAAGAGGAATACAACAATGTTCAGCATAAAAACCAGAGCATTTCTCTTTCTGTGAGTAGAATCAGCTATTGGCAGATTGGGAAGAAAGCACAGAGGATTGCTTAAAAGATGGAGTTTCACAGTTTCTGCAGTCTTTTAATCAACATCTGATTTCCAGCTTAGATTTATCTATCAAAAAACAAGACAGAGGGGTGCCTGGGTGGCTCAGTGGGTTAAGCCTCTGCCTTCGGCTTAGGTCCTGATCTCAGGGTCCTGGGATCGAGCCCCGCATCAGGCTCTCTGCTCAGCGGGGAGCTTGCTTCCTCCTCTCTCTCTCTCTGCCTGCCTCTCTGCCTACTTGTGATTTCTGTCTGTCAAATAAATAAAATCTTAAAAAAAAAAAAAAAAGACAGAGTGGCTTCATAGTATTAAATACAGTTACTAGAAACAACAACAATGAACAAATCCCAAAATTACTTTGTAAATCAAAAAAAAACAAAACAAAACAAACAAACAAAACCCCAAAAAAACAAACAAACTGATGAAGGATATATACCACAAGAGGTCACTGTTACAATAAGAAAGAACTCAGGTCTGCCGGCCCCACGAAAGACTAGCATTTAAGAGCTGGAAGGGACCTTTTTTCTCGGTCTCCCTGTGCACAAGGAAGTCGTTCCCAAAGTGGTCGGATGTGCACCAGGTCACAAACCAGCGTCAGATCTGGAGCCATGATCTCACAATTTCCAATTCACAGCTCTTTCTACTTTGTCACAGAGTGCCCTGTTTCCACTTTAAAAAATGCATTCAGTTAATATTCTTTGAAAAATGCCTTATTTTTCCAAATAATTTAAATGTGAAAAAATCGAGGGTAAATTCAGGCAGCCTCCAGATGACAAATATTTTGTGTTCCAAATAAAAGAGTAGCGGTTGGCCAATAGTAGGATTATATTGCCAGGTTGGTTTGGATTTTTGTTTTGTTTTGTTTTTAAGGTTTTATTTAATGTAGACTGTCCAGGAAGGATACAATTTTCCTTTAACTACAGCTGACACTTAAAAGTACTTACATTTAAATACCTATACACAATTCCAAAGTAAAAAACACTGAGTGCAAGTTTTACAACATATTTTTGTCATCAAATAAAAGATTTGCTACAACAAAATCATAAAGAATGTATATACATGGGGCCAGGGTCACTCACAAACACCCACATGTGTGGCTTCCACACTTGCGCCAATGCAGTAAGAGCCTGGGGAAAGGCTCAGTGCTGTGTCTTGGCCCTTGGCTTGTACTGCTGCCCAAGGATTAGCTTCTCCAAACACCATTTTTTCCCATAAACACGCCCCCCTTTTAAACACTTGATTTAACACTTCATATCATTTAGTAGAGAAAAGATCAAGCTAATCTTTCCCAAAATGTGTAATTATTTCATACTATGAAACAATTGCCTTATTTTTACACAATGTAAAAAACATAGATCTGGTACCAAGGGGTCCCTGGCCAATCAAAGAAAAAGTATGTGGATGGGATCTACTGCATCAACGCTCTCAGAGTTGAGATTCAAAAGGAACAGATCTAATCTACCCTATGAGAAGGTAAAATACCAAGTTTGACAGGGTGTGAAGCCAAGGAAGTTCTCGCACTTCTCACTCCTAGATATAATAAGAAAGTCAGAACAATAGAGGCAAGGCCTTCTTTTCATTATTGTCCTAAATAACTATTAAAACCCAGCAAGCTAGTTTTCAATTCATGGCTTTCTAAAGTCACTGGGCCACTCTCTCGGAGTCACGGATGTTGATGAGGTTGCCTCCCTATTTAACACATTTGTGTATCCCAATTATGGGAAGGGGAAAAAAAAAAAAAGGAAGAAAGGAAGAAAGACGAAGGGTCCTTCTTAGTATATACCAAAGCTCAGCAGTGCTGGGTCCTGCTGGTTCTCAAGAAGAGTGCAGGATTGGGATCATACAAAGCTATGATCTTTGTACAGTTGTTGAACTTGTAAGCTCTGAACCTAAACTACCGGGTCCTGGGCCAACATTTATCAGCTGTGTCAATTTGGGCAACTTACTTAAGCCTTTGACCTTGGTCTTCTTATGCTGACATAAGGGCAATGCCTCTCCTTAGTAGAGTGACTGGTACCTTTGAAAAAGTTCATAGTCAATATTGGTTTTTTCTTTTGTTCTGAATCAACAAGCACCTGTCTGAATAGTCCAGGGCTGGATGCTGTTGTGATAAAGAATGTACAAAGTGTTGCCCTGAAGGAGTCTAAAAGCTACTTTGAGGAGCTCAGCAACTTTTTAAAATGGAAAGTTCCAAGGAAGTCTCTAATCAAGGGCTAGATTGTGAAAGCCAGCAGGTTACAGGAACTAGAGGGATGCTGAGAAGGAAGTAATGAGTGAGAGGGAGAAACAGGCCATAGAGTAGGTCTTAAAAGAGTAAAAAGCGTGGTCCCGCAAGTGACAGCACAACCCTCAGGAGGGGAGGATCACGAGTGAAGGCAAAGAGGAATGTGAGCAGCCTGAGACTCGGGGCAGGGGATAACTGCACGGGGCCAGCAAGGTAGGAATAGGAGATTTCTGCTGGGACATGTGGGAACCGTTGCCCGCAACTCAGGGGAGGCAATGGCCCCATCAGATGGGCAATGAGGAGCTGTCATAGGTTCTAAAACAGGAGGTAATGGGCTCTGGAGTTGTGACAAGAGCATTTAGGAGACTTGGAAGCACGTAACAAGAACTAATTCTTGGGGGGTGCCAATAGGACTAGAGATAAAGGAAAAATTGAAGAGATCTTGCAAATGAACAGTTGACAGGATGAGTGGTTGATTTCAGGCAGAAGAAAGAGCAGAAGGTAGACCTGGAGGAACAGGAGAGCAGGGTTGCCATCAACAGAAATGGGAAGGTTAGGGAGTAGAACAGTTTGAGGAGTGAAGCACGGGCAATGTCTGCCATATTGAGTTTCAGATGAAAAATGGAGGATTGGCAAAGGAGATGTGGAAATCAGGGAAAGAGCGCTGTTAGAGACCCAAGTGGTACACAGGGACTGGAGTCATCAGGTTTGTGGCTGAAAAGACCAGAATCTCTGGCCCAAGCCTTGTTAGATGTTCATGTAAAGGATAAAAAAGGGGGAAAGAAGTCCAAAGGAAGAGGAGAAATAAAATATATTCTCACAGAGCCCAAGCATGCTGAGAAGGCAAGCATGATTAACAGGTCAAAGACTGTTAAGAACACTGAGGAAGAACTATCTGCCTGACCAGAGTAAGCCCCACAAGGGTGTTTGGGAAGCAGGACAGCTGAAGTCACACAACCAGAGTGAGGTGGGGAGAGAGGCATCAAGAAAAGAAAATCCCCTCTCTGCCAAAGAAGAGAACAGATGCACTTAACAGTTAATGGAAATCTGTTCTCCCGTACTTCTACCCCCAAGAACCTTCTCAGTTCTCTGTACTAATTGAAGCCACAGGAAACAAAGATTTATCCTCCTTCTTCTCAGTAATTCTCCACATACTTAAAAATGTGGTGTTCACCACTTAACGTCCTCTCCTAGGGTTTAAATCCCATGGTTTTATTAGCTACGTTATCAGCTAATTATGATCGCAGTTATTAGCTGTGTGACTTCATGCCTGTTTTTCACCTAAGCTTTGGTTTCCTCACTTACATCTGAGGGGGTGGTAAATTCTAGTAACCCGCTCTATACGGCTGTTGTGAGGATCAAACGATAAAATGTGGAATTGCTAGCAGAATTCCAGGTGCCTAGTAAGTACTCAGTAAGGGTTTATTATCATTGCCGATGTCATCACTGATGTCACCGACAAACTTCTCCTGTCCCTTCTACTCCTCCTCCTAGGATGTGGTTTCAGATCTCTTTGTCAGCCTGTTCAGTCACTCTGAGCGAGTGTCACTCTGTCTGGATCCCTTTTAAAGTCTGGAACCCAACACCGAGCTAAAGGTATGGCTGAGGAACAGTGAAGAGAGATTCTGAATAAATGCAGCCCAAGACTACGTTAGTGGTTTTGGTGGTCACATCACAACATTAGTCAATTCTTGTTTTTTCTTTCATACGCAGCTAAGGCAGATTTCCCCCAACCATAATGGACTCATTAAATTTCACAGTGTTATATTTGGCAAAGGGTTCCTGTCTATCAGACATGTCTAGATCTGGATTCAGTTATCCAATATAATTCTTCTTCCCAGCTTCCTGTTCCAAATTGTCAGAGACCATAATTAATTTTTGTGCCATGATTTTTGATGTCCAACGATAAAATAATTCCAGAAATTATTCTTTAAAGCTCTTTTCTGAACTTCTTCTTAGAGGCAGAAGAACACCATTTAATTAGTTAGGGTATCTTCATCTACAAATAACAACCAAAAAAATTCTAACAGACTTAACCAGTAAATGAAATGTATTGGCTCATATAACCTAAAAGTCGAACACTAGGGTGGATTTTAGGTATAGTGTGATCAGGGAGTTGGCTCCATCTTTCTGCAGTTCTCTCAGTTCTGCCCTTCTTTCAGTTCAGGTGGGATCACTGAAGATGGCAAGGTGGCTATGGCATTCCCAGGTCCCTGATCTATTGCCAACATGTTTCAGAGCAAAAGCAACGTCTTCTCTTCCCAATTACTTACAGGAGTCCTACATTTCACTGAATAACCAGAACCAAGCTCTCTAGCCAAGGCAATGCCATACACAGACTGAGTCACTAGTGCTCATCCACCACTCAGTCCTATAGGCAACGTCTAATTCTGGACCATATATACACCGAAGACATAAAGTATATTTCTTTTAAAACATTCAAAACTCAGATTTTGCTATTTAGACAGTTTTTCCAATTATAATGATTAAGTCAGAGGTCAGCAAACTTTTTCTTAAAAAGCCAGACAATATATGTTTTATACTTCTCAGGCCGAATGGCAAAATGGAGGCTACCATGTAGGTACTTCTGTAACCATTTAAATGTAATGACTTGGGGCACCTGGGTGGCTCAGTCGTTAAGTGTCTACCTTCAGTTCGGGTCATGATCCC